CTGGAGGGCAGAACGCTGCAGGGCAGGGCTGCTCTCCAGTGCTGAGAGAACAGAGTCTATGTAAGAGGCTTGTAGCCGTCTGGGTGAAATTCTTGTTTTCATATCGACGAGCTATGGTGTCATTTTTAGAACAAGCCATTTAGCGCCTTCTGCAGACTTCTCCTGGGATAGCTCCAACATACGTTCACCTCATTGGGCTGAAACTTTCACCCATGTTTAGTGTGGGCATCCATTACTGTAACACTATATGAGAGATTTAAAGAGGGGACCAGCATCATATGTCGACTTTAAATAACCCGAGCAGCAAACCGTAGTGTGTTATTTATGTTTACTGTGATGTAATTTCTGAGAAGCTTTAAATGCTTCATGCTCCTACAATCTTACATCCTAAGATAAAACTAAAACCTAAACTAAAATATGTACATCATCAGAAACAAATGAACAGGGTAAAGACTACAAAGATGGAGGTCTTGTCTTTCAGTTTCAGAAAGATTGAAGGCTTTGGTTGTTGCAGTTTGTATTTGAGCTCGACTTAAAAAGGATCAGGAGAGATTAGAAGGTGTCGTCTGTTTTTAAAGGGATTAACTAACATGGAGGGAACACATGTCAGATCACAGTGTGCCGTTTACCTGTTGATATGACGTGGTGTACACCATGACGTTCTGCTGCTGGCCGTCTGCGGTGATAATCCCAGCGGGCAGAGGAGTGGCTGATCAAAGAACAGAGATGATTTTAGAACGAGAGCATAAAGATCAGAACCTGAGTGTCAATAAAAAAAACAATGTTTCCCACACATTCAGACTTACTGAAACTGTCTTCTGTCAGCTCGTCCCCAGACCGTCTCCCACTGACACCCCGGGGATCCCTTCTCCCCCTTCATGGCCTAAAAAAAAAAAAACACCACAGAGGAAGAAAACACAGCACATTTGAGCACAACTAACTCAACAAGAACATGGGAGTTTACAAAACGTCGATTAGACCTTTTGTCTCACCTCTCTGAACTTCTGCAGGTAAAGCTTCAGCGGCTCCACGTACATGTCGAAGCCCAGCGTGGACATGGCGAACAGGATGTCCTCCCCGTTGATGGTCTTCCTCTTCTCCTGGTGGCAGCGCTCGCTCGCCTCCGACGTGATGAAGCTGATGAACTCGCTCACACACTCCTGCACACACTCCTTGGCGTCCTTCGCGATCTGAGGGAGACAAAGGAACAAATTACAGAGAGGAAGAAATTACGTTTAAAGATTTAAAAAAAAAAAAAAATACAGATACTGAAATCAACAAACAGGGTTAAAATTCTGGATGATGAGGAGGCGTACAGAGAATATTCTTCAGGGGATCAGAGCTACTCCTGGTTTATGTCACATGTCGGAGGCAAATGTGAAGATATGAACAGCTAGTGGGCGTTCACACTGAACTAATTCTACATTTAGAGAATTATTTTTGTATTTTTAAACTTTTGGCACTTTGTTTTCTTACATATCTTGTCGTCTAAATAACTATCAGGTAGAAAAGGTTCTGCATATCCGTTGCGTCAGCTACAGCTGCTGTCTGACGCAACAGGCTGCAAAGGCTGAAACATAACCCCTGCAGGCACACTTTTTCAAAACAGCCGCTCCCGCCTTGATCTGCCAGTTTGTTTGTGCTGTGGCGGTTTTAGATGTTAAGTTAGAATCCAGCAAGCGCACAGATAAAACACAACAAACCACCAAGCAGTGGATCAACGGATACCCTCTGCTGTGGAGAAGAATTACCGGTTTTGCTGGTGGCGTTCTGCATGCTTTGAAGGGAGCGCTGTGATGAATGTTTCTGGTTTAAAAACTCAAATATTTTCTCTTCAACACAATCGTTTCTTTTAATGGATCCTTTCTGGGATTTTGTCGACAATAAGCGAACAACCCGGGGATGTCAGCAGCAAAAACAAACTGTCAGTGACTGACGTCGTTCAGCGCAGAATAAATATGCAGACAAAATGCCAGAACTACCCTTTAAATATTCAAAACTAATCCTTCGAGTAATGCCGCTCCTTTGGTCATCTCTCTTACTAACCTTTCCGGTCTGAGGAACGGCGTTCTTCATGATGCGAGCCACGTTGGCGATAGGAAGGTAGATGTCCTGCTCCCTGAAGTTCTCCTTTATGCCTCCATCGTCTGGGTCGTTCAGACTCTCATCTGCGTCATCTGCAGAACACAAACAAACACACAGGTTAAGCTTGAAGCAGCTCTGATGATGGCGAGTATGTGACGATCAACACTGAAGCTGCTCCTCACCATCTTGAGACTGCAGGACGTAATGACTGGAGGCCATGTACTCTCCAGTGATGCCCAGCTGGGAGGCGTCGGTGGTTGAGCTGTCTCCGTCCATCTGTAACACACACACACACGTCTTAATACCTCAAAGTTTGAGCAGTATTCCTGCAGAGCCTCACCGTACCAATTATTTTAAATACAGGAAAGGGAAGCACATCTTTAGAAATCCTACACACTCAAACACTCATCGAGGAATGGGACAAACTGTTTTACTGAACTTCAAATGCCGACCAGATCATTTAAAGCACGGTGGAATACAACTTATAACAATAATCGGTGCGTCTCCGAGATCAAATTGGCCGACAGTCACTGGGACTTCAACTAACGACTATTTTGAGAGTCGACTAGTCATTGATTGTTTGGATTGTGAAGATGGATGTCAGAGATGATCTTTAAGGGAGAGATGTCCATGGTGCCTTCTCTTCTAATGCAAGTGTAACCCCTCACTTCTGGTTCTGTCTCATAACAGTTATCTAATAACCCTGTTACACAAGGCTCGCTTTATCAATCCCGCAGGCGATCCTTTTCTTATACGAGGTTAAATGATGTGGGTGGTAGAGCGAGTGAGGAGAAGGACTGTAACAGTGAGAGTGTGTGTGTGTGTGTGTGTGTGTGTGTGTGTGTGTTACGTTGTTGTCATGACTGAAGAAGTTGAGTGAGAGCGATCGGTAGCTGTAAGAAATAGCAGGACAAACGTAGCCTACAGTTTTTAAGACGTGTGCGCAGACACAAACGTCACAACTTCTACCCGTGCCTCGCTTGCTGCTGACGAGTTAAAGTGACGGGGGTCAGCCCTGAAGTCATCTCCAACTTCAGGGCTGACCCTCGCACATGTCAACTCTGACAAAAAAAATTATGAATTCTGAAATGTAAACACAACACATTAAAAAGGCTGTAGCTATCAAGAATATTTACAATAACCAGACAAGTTGCATTCACTTGCAGAAAACATATGGGAACTGCTTAAAAGCTGTATTCAGGATCATCTGTCCAAGTGAGAAAAGCTTGTTGTAAAGAGCTTAAAACATAAAAGTATGGAGTTGTTTGTATGTGGGTGTGTATATATATATATATATATAATGTTGTTGTGTGTTGTGTCTTGGGATATAAATGTCTCATGTGATCCTCACTTCACTCTTGAATATTGTAAACTAAGTCCTCGGTCATTTTGTTATTTTGGTTAATCAAGGATAGTAAGCGAGACTCTGTGATGGAAAGCATGAAATTAAAAAAAGATAAAAACAGTAGCATGGCATTTATGTATTTACCAGAGCTCAAATAAAGCATATAGAATTAATAAAAGCTGACACTAGAAGTGAGAAATATATTTATAGACAGAGAAAGTGGACAGAAAGAGAAGTCAAAATACATTTCAGGCTTGTAAAAGCTGTAAAAAAAACATGTAGAAAATAAACAAATATTAAAAGAGCAACAGTATAGTTCAATGTATTTTGTACACTGATGACTGGTGAAGCTTAATGTGACAAAGAGCTTGATTTGCTTACAGTTTAACACACGTGTTTTGCTTTGTTTTTCGGGGTAAATGTAAAGAACTGGCAACCCCAGCTGACCTCGTTACCCATGAGCTCACTGACTTTCTGTTCTCGTTATGGAGCCACATTCAAATGTTTCCACTAGTGTTTTAATTGTGTTTCTTTTGAGAGGTTGAGAACGAAGGCCATGTCGAGCCACACACCTGATTTACAATTACACTTATTAAGTCACCGTGGTGTGAGCTAGTCTTGGTGTTGGTGTGGTTTACATTATAGTCACACACACACACACACAGTGCTAGTTAGCCAGCTGTTACCCTGCGGTGAGGTCACCAGCTAAACATGCTAACGTAAGCTAACGTTAAACCCACAAAGGGCGCTAGCACGCTCGGTGTATTACTGATACTGATTAATTCACGGTGATGGACTGAAGCTGTCCAGTCGGCTTTACCTCCTGGAGATGAACTATTCAGGCACATAGTGTCCCTTGAACACATTTTCATCGTAAATCCAGAGTAAGTGGCGCCCACGGAGCCCGCGCTGGCCTGTTTCTTTGTCGTGCGGAGCCGAGAGAGACGTGGCCGGGGCCGAAATGTGAAATAATAATTTGTAAAGTTTCGCCCGCTGGATACTTCCTGATGAGCAGCCCTCATTCACTCAGACAACAAATAAAAAATCAGACAGAGACGGACATTTCCATTCGAGCTAACGAGAAATCGGTTAGCAATCATTGGCCGGAGCCAGGCACAAACCTGCAATGAAGCCCTGGTTGGTTACCTTCCTGAGACGGCTGTTTGGTTGGACAGAAAATGGCTGCGAAAGGACCAGTCCCAGCGCGGAGCCGCGGCTGCAGTACCGCACACGACCAGTAGGGGCTGCGGTGCGTTCAGGCTCTCATTTCGAGCTCCTACATCACAGCTTCCCTCCAAATGCAGCAACAAAAAAAAAAAAAAAGCAAAATGTTCCGCCACTGTTTGCTTTTCAATACCGATTGTGTGGCCAGTTAAGTATAGTTATTTGTTGAGGTCGTTTAAAATCTTTTGATGTGTATACTAAAGATTTAAATGTTGGATTCACTGAATACGATCGTTACAAATGTTTAGTATTCCTATTTTAATCGTAGCTCTGGAACGCATCTCTTCAAGCCTACATTCTCCTGCAAATGTTTGCTTTGTAGAAAACTTCTCATGGCGTTTTTCCACACGTGTCTTTGGGAACAATTACCCCTGAAATCGCCCGAAGTATTGCATCGAGTCCAGTCGGAGCTGTTTTAACTAACTGAGGCGAGTTGTGTTTAGAAAATTGTTCGTGCAGGTGCAAACATTTCACCTAAGTATTGATTATGACCAAAATACGGTAGGCCGTGTTATTCAGAAGACATGAACACACTTTCCTGTCAGCACATGTGAACGCCCATTAACAACTGTGTCCAATTTGTAGGTTTGAAATACTTGATAATGTTTACTGTCTTTTCTTCATATTGTACGTGTGTTCCCTAAATGCAGCAGCTGTTTAAAATCAGCTTGATAGTTTCGGGTGTCACCACAAGATGTCAGCCTTTTACCGTGCAAACAGAACGACCGACACCCTCAAATCTCGCGAGAGGGAGTTATGTACTGAATATCAGCACTGCTGTGATTCGGTCTGAAGGTTTTAGTGCTGATATTCAGTACAACATCTCCACCTCGAGTGTGGTTATTACTTTTATACAACAGCTAGACAAGCAGAAAATAGTGATACAATGTAAAAAAAAAAAAAACACGGATTATTTTTTAACTTCACCGCAATTTATCTGGAACTAGGCTGTTGCTAAGCAACCCAAACATTCGATTCTACTGCACTCACGGTCCTCTGTTGGTGTCCATGGTTACCACGGAGCCGAGTATGAACTTGTACTTGTATGATAAAATCATTTCATGAAACCACCGCAGTCCTTTGTGTGATTCTGAGGAATAAGATTGACGAGCAAAGAAAAACTCTGTCAGCTTCAAATGGTAATAAAAAGTATCACGATCTCCTGAAAATTCCCAGTGATGTCACTCATGGACTGGCTCTTGTCCAATCAGATTGCTTGGTCGGAACTCACTGTTGTATCATTTCAGTTATCATAAACACATATGTATTAAAAACTCTTTTACACTACTTTTGTTGCTTATATACATGTTTCTATTTAACCTTTATGAATCTACCTGCTAGTAACTGATATACAGTATTTATTAAACGTAAATCATGATGGAACATTTCTGTAAAATCTCAGTCGGCCTATTTCATGTCATGTCGATTTTTCATTTTCTAGATAATCTTGAATTTGTTGTCAATACAGCACTTGTTTTTCACATGCACTTAAAGCACTTGGAGATGTTTCATCTGTGATTATATATTTAAAATTTTTACAATCTGTGTCCTAAAGTCTGAACACATCCCATTCCGACTAGCACACAAATAAAACCTATTATAATCTTTTTTTTTTAACTTGCACATTCTTTTTCAAGACTTTCAATGCAGTTGTGAGGTCAAAAAATGGTAAAATATTCATTCAGTCGATAAACTCTGCCTCAGTTGACGTCATTTGGTGATATCAAGCCTGCAGTCAGGCGCTCAGGGCCAAAGTCCGTCCTCACTCAGGGTGTTTATGTCTTTCCCTTTCAGGGCTGTGCTTCAGGATAACGGCAGAGGAAACTTCACTCTGTGTCTGGACCTGCAGCAGTGAAACATGGAGCCACCAGCGGGGCCCTCACTGGGGCCTTATGACTACGACCTGCTGGTCATTGGCGGCGGGTCAGGAGGCCTGGCTGTGGCGAAGGTCAGCTCAGTTCTCACCGCACAGCGCGGTCACTCACAGAGTATTTGCAGGCCGTGGATTTGACTTCTGATTGTGCTGCTATTTAAGCTTTCTTTGTTTCCTTTGTTTGGTCGCATGGTGCATTCATGTGGCGTCGGACACATCGGAAAAACGACTTTCCAAGTTGTAAAATTTACATGAGGGCCTGCTCAACCAAACTCGAGAGGCAAAGAATTAGGGGCCCGACTTTACGTAATAATCGTCACCACATGGGAGGGAAAAATACGTTTAGCTAATGTTAAGATACTTTGTATTAATTCACATATTAAACATGAACTTTTTGCTCAAATATAATACATAAGGAGCAAAACACAACAAATAATCAACAGAGGTAAAATCACATAATGGCATAATGGCGCCTACAGCATCCAGCTGTGACTGCTGTTTCTTTACCCGTTGCTAATCTGGTGAATGAACGCACACTTGAACAGATCACGGCTCAGGTCATTACCATATTAATGAGCTGAATGCTGATAGGCTGATCTGTGAGCAGCTCTACAGTCGATAGGGGACGTGAGCTGAAGGGGGGGCAGGAGCTGCGATTGTTGAGGAGGACAAATGCTAAACCCGTTTCAATATTTAATTACTCTCTCTTCCTCGCTTGCTGGCTGACTCGGTGGCTCTCATTTATTCTGTTTTTTTTTTTTTTTTGTCAGGAAGCTGCAGGCTTGAGGAGGAAGGTGCTGATCCTTGACCTCGGCGCTCCCTCTCTGAGAGGCGCCAAGAGAGGTGAGAGTTTAATACTCAGAGTTTGAAGAGTCGACGGGGCAATTTTTATAAATCATCTCTTCTTCTGCAGCAGTACAGACGTGTCAGCCTTTAAACTCTGTGTTCCTGCTTTAAATGTGAAGAATAAATTGAATTTAAATCCTGGATTCTCTTATCTTCCAGCTTCTTATTTAGCCTTTCCTGTCATTTGTGCAATTCACTTTCGACATCTTCATTCTTAAGTCTGTTAGGAACAATTTTCTCCTCTCCTTTGCTTCCTCTTCTTGACCTTTTCTTGACCCGCCTCCCCTAACCTAATCCTTCCCTCCCCCCTTTTCATTCCTTACCTTTCCGATTGTTTCTTTTCCTCGTCTTACTTCACTGTACCCTTCCTTTCCTTTTCTTTCTTTCTGTCATTCTTTTGTCTCCACTCCTCTCCACTCCTCTCCTCTCCTCTTCTTCCCTTTTGTTCCCACATCTTACCTTTCCTTTTCTTAAATTCTTTTCCTTACCTTTACATTCCCCTTCTTTCGTTCATTTTCTCACTAAACCCCTCCTCATTTTCTTTGCTTTCTGTACCATTACCCTTTTTTATTCCTTTCCTTTTCTTCTCCTTTGAAGAACTTTCTTTCCTTTCCTCTTCTTCTTCCTCTCCTCTCCTTAATTGACCTAACATTATCTTGCCTAACATTTATTTTTCTTTGCCTTCCAATTATATTCTATAACGACTTTTCTCCTTCTTACCTCTTTTTTACATTTTCTGTCTCCTTTTTCCATCCTTCAGTCCTCGGAGGTTCCACTCTCAATGTCGACAGCGTCAGGAAGTTTCTACAACATTCGTCTCTCCTGGGAAAAGCCCTTCAAGACTCTGAGAATTATGGCTGGAAGTTGAAAGACCACGGTAATTAAATGAAGTCGTTACATGAATTATAAAACCCCTCATTAATGATTTAAATCTTCAAATCAAATCCAAATAAAGAGGTACCAAGAGTCAAGAGGGACAGCTTGATTCATTGCAGCTGTAGAAATATCTGAAATATATTTATGTGTAAATTACATATAAAATCAAAAGTAGGCTCTCTGCGTCCTTCAGTGTCTCACAGCTGGACGCAGCTGGTGGAGGCGGTGGAGGAGCAGAGGAGGAGGAGCAGTGAGGAGCTGAGGAGGGAGCTGAAGAGATGTGGAGTCTTTTACCTGAATGCTCGTGGAGAGATCGTAGCTCCTCACACAGTGGAGGTAAAAAAAATAATTAAAAAAAACCTACAGGGCTCTATTTTCCACTCAGCACGACTAACAGACTCATTTATCATTAGCCTAAAACATGACCACCTGTGACACCATCACTTACACAC